CCACACTGCCGCCGCACCTGCTGGACTACTGCTGGTGAGGGGCGGAGTCTAGGGAGGGGCAGGGCCTGGGGGCTGGGGACCAGGGCGTAGGGCCTGCATGACCCTGCTCCCTCGGGTCGTCCGCAGCGCTCCCATGCCCTACCTCATCGGAGTCCACGCCAGTCTCACAGAGGTCAGTGGGAGCGGCCATGGACTGCAAGGACGGGCGGAGTTCTCCTCCCTCTGCATCCCCAGATACCCTCCCCCGCCAGGGTTCCTCGGACTCTGAGCTGCGGTCCCCCTACCACCCTCCAACACAGAGAGTGCTGGAGAAAGGCCTGGAAGATGTCGTGATGATGAACGTGGACTCCAATATCTTAGAGACGCCCTTCGACGACGTGCAGGCGCTGCCTCCCGACGTGGTCAGTATCACCCCTCCCGCAGCTTCTGGGAGAGGGAGGCCCCAAACCCACCCGCTCAGCGCCGCTCCCTTGTCCTCCAGGTGTCCCTGCTGAGGCTGAGGCTAAAAAAGGTCGCGCTGGCCCCAGGAGAAGGGGTGTCCCGTCTTTTCCTCAAAGCCCAGGCACTGCTCTTTGGGGGGTACCGCGATGCGCTGATCTGCAGCCCGGTGAGCAGGGGGGATGCTGAGGAGGAGGCCTAGTGGACCCTGGAAGATAATATCATTTAGAGTGTTTACTCTATGCCTCTGTTTGCTCATCTATAAAATGAGATCCAGATAGTACCCACCCAAACAGATGGTGTGAGTAAAATGCTTGGATAGTGCCTGGCACATCACGAGTATTCAAATGCTAGGTTCTACTATTACTATCTCATTTAATGCTCGTGACAGTATTATGAGATAGGTGCCATTATGGTCCCATTTTACATGTAAAGAAACTGAGGCTTGGAGAAGTCCTGTGGTAGGTGAGTGTTAAACCCAGGACTCTGATCTGCTAACTTTCAACCCCCTCCCTCAGTTTCCCACTATTCTATAAAAACTTGAGGGAGGGGGAAGTTCTATCATTTAAGTATCTGATGTTCCTGTTGGCTGCCTTAACAACACATCTGGAATCTGCCCATTTCTCCCCATCATGTCTCCACCCTGGACTGGTCCCCATTATTGCTCACCTAGATAAGTGTGCTTGCCTCCCCGATGAGTCCCCTCTCCCCGGTTCCCACCCTCACCCTCATAGTCTGTCCTCCCTGAAGCAGTCAGAAGTCACCTGTGAGCACCCAAGTCAGGTCTCCTCCCTCCTCTGCCCTCTAGGGCTCCTACCTCCCTCTGGGTAAAAGCCCAAATCCCCCCCTTGACTCACCAGGTCCTGCACAGGAGCAGGCATACAGCAGGCGCTCAATCAACATTTGCTACATAGATAGATGGTAGAGTAAGGGAGGCAGCTGGTGTCCAGGAGAGCCTCCGGGAGCTCAGGACGAGGATCCTTCTTCCAGGGCCAGCCTGTGACCTTCAGTGAAGAAGACTTCTTGGCCCAGAAGCCCGGGACTCCCTTGCAGGCCTTCCACCGGCGGGCTGTGCACCTGCAGCTGTTCAAACAGGTGCGCCAGAGCCCAAGGGCGGGATTGGGACCTGGGGGGCGGGGTTAGGGACGCCACGCCTGGGTACTGTGGGCGGGGCTAGAGTCGGTCTGGCGGAATCTCCCTCTTCAGATTGGGGAGACAGAACTGAACTAGGTTTCTTAAAGTTGAGAGCTCCCGTCCTGATTTCCTAAGGGACAAAATCTATTCCTTGGGCCCTGGGGAAATAAGGGTGGGACCAAGTTCCAGGATCAGGGTGGGAGTCCGTGCCGTCTTCGGAAGTTCTGGGAGTGTCCAGATGCGCACATCCTTTGGGAGGAAGGAGGAGGCGGGCCGGGACTCTGGGGTACCTGGGAGGGGGCTGGAGCGGGATCGGACTCCTGGGTTCCTGGAGGAAAGTGGGCTGGACTCCAGGATCCTTCAGCGCGGGAGTGGGTTCTAGGGTCCCTGAAGGTGGGGTCAACCTCTTCCAGAGTCACTGAGAGGTGGGTCGGTTCGAAGTGGCAGAATCTAACTTCCGGGTCCCTGTGAGGGGCGGGGTCTGGTCCCTGATAACAGGTCCTGACCTGGGGCTATAGGAGGCGGTTGGACCTCTGGCTTCCAAAGGTGGCCTCCAGACCTCCTGGGTCCTGTGGGTGGGCCCCTAGCCGGGTCAGGAATGACTTTTACTTCCTGAGGGCGAGAGGACTCCTAGTCCTTGCATTCAGATGTGACTCTGATCCTTTCTCCCATCCCCAGTTCATTGATGGCCGGCTGGAGAGGCTTAACACAGGAGAGGGGTTCTCAGATCTGTTTGAGCAGGAGATCACCTGCAGTGGGGCCTCCTCAGGTGAGCCCTGAATCTAGCCTGGAGTCCCTACCCCCAGCAGCCCCCCCAGCCTGAGCATGCCTGCCATGACCACGCTCTCTCCTCATTCCAGGCACCCTTCGCTCCTACCAGCTCTGGGCAGACAACCTAAAGGTATTGAACACCTGTCTTGTTTATTATTGGATTAATTTAATCCCACAACAGTCCCCAAGTAGGGTCATCATTTTGCTCATTTATAGAGGTGAAGAAATTGAGGCTCAGAAAGGGAGAAGGGCTTGTCTGGGGTCACACAATCCTGGGGTAACCCCAGATGCCCACACCTCTCTCCCTTGGCACTCTCTCTCCAGAAAGGTGGCGGTGCCCTCCTGCATTCCGTCAAGGCCAAGACCCAACCAACCGTCAGAAACATGTACCGCTCGGTGAGACTGGGCTAGGCAGGCCGTTTACTGGGGTGACAGAGGACATTTTAACCCCACATTTAAAGTGCACGTTTTTATCAACTGAATCAGCAGTTAAACCATTAACAATTTTTCCCACTTTCATTTTCCATTCACTATTCTCATGTTTGTCAGGATTTCTTTCCTATTTAAAATTGGCAACCAAGATTCATTGGGTTTGTTTGTTTGTTTTGTCCTTCTCAGACACTGCAAACCCCGCTTCTATCCTTTTGGGGTTTTCTCCCAAGCCCGTTTCCTGGGGCCCACTTCTGCAGCTCCAAATTGTACATTCAATTTTATTCTTCACTCGGCTTTTGAACACGGACACATTTTTATGATGTTCTGTTTTTGCCACTCCCCATTTCATCTGGGGGTTCTTTCCCCCAGGAATAGTCCTTTTGTATTAGTCAAGGGGGCGAGAGTGTGTATTGACTCCTTAGGTGATGCATGGGGAATTGTGAATACATTTGTGAGACATAAACATGAATAGATGGCAGACTCCACTGTTCTAGGGAACAGGGGGCTGAGTTCTCAAATGTCCCATGTCAAATCACCTCAAATCTAATTTATTTATTTATTTATTTATTTTTTTGCTCCTCCATAGGCCAAGAGTGGCTTGAAGGGAATGCAGAGCCTCCTGATGTACAAGGTAAAGTTAATGGCCAAGGGGTGGGGGGAATGGAGAAATGGGCTCCTGGCTCACCCAACCTCTTCCTAGGATAGGGATTCTAGCCTGCAGAGGGGGGGCTCCCTCAGGGCTTTCTCCCTCACCAGTCGCTCAGATCACCTGCAGCAGCGCCTGCCTATCACCCAGCACTTTGGACAGGTAAGATGCCCTGCCTCCACCCCGACACACACACCTGGAATTATCACCAAGTCCTCCACCCATCCTCGATCTCCATCTAGACAACTTGCCTCCCTCCTCGTGTACCCCAGTACCTGATGCCCGCTTCACACTCACCCTCCTTCACACAGCTCCCCTGACTCTAGCTCCTGGGGCCCCACCCCTCCAAACCTGTCCTTTGCAGAACCGGCCCCTTCGCCCCAGCAGGAGACACCGGCAGGAAGAGAGACCTTCTGAGTCCCTGGGGGAGAGGTAAGGCTCAAAGGCAGGAGAGGGGGCAATATTGTAAGTGGGAGGCCAGAACTAATGGGGAAGATGATCCCCAAATTTCAAACCTGCCAGAGCCACCAGACTGGAGCTGGGGGTTGGGGGCAGATATCTGAGGCTGCCTAACCTCACACAGGACACCCCCTCTGAGCCCTGAGGCTACCCAGGACTCCTGGGCAGAGGAAGCTTTGGACAGCAGCTTCCTGGGGTCTGGGGAAGAACTGGATTTGTTGAGTGAGATACTAGACAGTCTGAGCACGGGAGCCACAAGGACAGGCAGCCTGCGGCCCAGCCAGAGCTTAGACTGCTGCCACAGAGAGGACTTGGACAGCTGCCTCAGCCTGGTGAGCCCTCCAGTCCTCTCCCACTTGCCCACCCAACTTGCCACCCCCTCCCCCTCTAAAGTCCAGCAACTTGCTAATCTCCCCACCCCCCATCCAGCCTAACTTACCAGGAAGACAAAGGTGGCAGCCAGATGAGGAGGACCCCCCAGAACCCCATTCCCAGTCCCTGCCTGCCGGCCTGCCATCTCTACAAAACCCCCAGCCTCCGGATACCACCAGGTCCTCAAAGAACCTCACTCTCTCAGAGGCCAGCCAAGAAATCACTTCTTCAACCCAATCGTTAACAGCTTCTGCAGACCCAAGCAGCAGCGGGGACCTCAAATCCTCTCTCACAGAGCCCCATCAACAAACCCCACCTCTCTCCCCTCTCCACGAGGCCGCCGGAGAGCCCAGAGGCGAGAAGAGCTCCTGCTCCCAGCTCTCCACAGTGCCCACCCATCCCAGCCCTCCAGAGAGCCCCCAACCTCTGCTACCCACAAAGCCCAACTCAGATATCACCTGGACATCTCCAACCTTTGACTCTACCTCAGATCTCGGTTTCCCAGAGAGCCCCAGAGCCCCTGCTGTGCCCGCTAGCAACCGGCAGGAGCCCCAGGCCAGGAACCGGCCCAGAGTTGCTGAGCTTAAAAAGTGTTTTGAAGGTTAAGGACCAGGCATCTGGAGGAGATGCCATTCCCTCAATAAAGTCTCAAGAGCCCAAAGCTGGTTTTTCCTGGTGAGTTTACCTGGGGGCCCTCTCTCTGCTCCTAAACCCATCCCATCCACCACCTTCCCCACTGGGGCAGCCTCCTGCTGGCTCCAAATGGTAGTGAAAAGCCTCCCTTCCAGGAAACCCTCCCAGCCCCTAAGATCCTCAAAACCTTGCAATTCATCCTCCACGGCCTATGAGCCCTGCATTTACCTCCTCCATCTAGGCTAATTTCTGCCTCCACCAGTTCAAAAAAAAGTTTTATTATATCTCACTACCAATTTTACACATATATATATATATATAAAATGTCAGCATCCCCACCCTCCCTTGCCCTCAGGGGCAGAGTTTTGAAGCACCTTTTCCCCTTCTATTCTTAAGCCCAGGTTTTGAAGGCTCAGAGAGGGATCAGCCTTCCCCCAAGGTCACACAGCAAGGGAGGGAGATGAAGAGAGGAAGGGGACCTAGATGGGCAGGCACCCCTGCACTTTCTCCTTGGAGTCCTGGGGAGCCTGGGCCTCGGTTGCGTGGGAGAACTGAAAGGAAAGGAGAGGGGGGTTGTCGGGCCTGTGTGGAGACGGTGCAGCAAGCAGAAAGGCGGGTCCCTAGCACCGGCACCCCCAATTGCAGGCAGAGTCATGCAGAGGCGACATGCTTCGCAGAGCCCACCCGGCAGGTGCCCCATGGCCCCAAAGTCCAACTGAGCCATCGTGGGCTCGTGTCTCGGTGGTGGATGCTGTGTGGGAGCAGGTGCTAGGCAGTCCTGGGTAGTGGTGGTGGTTGTGGCGGACCCCAGCGTTCAGATGAGCCGCTCCTCAGGAGGCAGCTTGAGGTTGGGGGGTGGTGGCGCTCGGGCACCCACCTGCTCCTCACTGCTGGGCCGGTAGGTGCCTTCTGTCTGCCGCTTCTCCCGCAGTTTCCGCACCAGCAGCACCAGCCCCACAGCCAGAAGCAGGGCAGCCAAGAGGGAGAAGACCACGATGATGGCAGTGGTGGCCTCCTTAGACTGCGAGACAGGAGACAGGTGTGACTTCCCTGAATCTGGGGATCCTGTCCGCCCCCACCTTAGAAGCATCCCGGGTTCCTAATCCCCCCACACACCCCTGCTCCTTTTGGTGATCTGGTTCTTCCACCTGATCCCCATCTATCACATTTGGGGCTCCCAGTCCCTCACACCTGCCATGTCTAGGGTCCCCCTTCCAAGCACCCATCACATCTGGGTTCCTAGCTATTCCCCCCCTCCTCCCAAGAGGCCTGTAGGGCTCCTGACCCACTGCACGTGCCACCATCCACTCCCTTCCCGAGGTTCTGGGTCTCCCCAGTCTGGGCCCCTGGCTCTCCCTAATTGTCATGTTGATATTCTGATCTCTCACACTTGGGGTTCTCCAATGCCAACCCCCATCCTGGCCTGCCACCTCTGGGGATCTAGGCCCCTCCACCTGCTACTTGTGGATAGCATCCTGAATAGAATCCCTGCTGCCCTCATGCCATATATACCCCCCAACTCACCAGGGCCCCATTGAAGCTGGGGTATGGGGTGGTAGTGGTGCTATTCTCGTATGCAGTGGGGTCCAATGCTGTGAGGAAGTGGTAGAGAGAATAAATGAAGCTCCATCTATCACTCCCATCCTGGCACATCTGCCCCCTTCCTTGGGGATTTCCCCTGCCCTCACCCCCCACCCCCACCCCCGTTAGAACTCTGCTCTTCTGACTGTGGGTGCTCTGCATGTCGGAGCCAGGCCAGCTGTACTGCTACTCTGGCCACCCTCAGCCCAGTGGAGCCCAGCAGTGAAGAATCCACCCACAGTAGTTTGCAGTTAGCGCTGAGTTGGGGGCTATGACAAGATGGTGTCAAAGCCCAACTGTCCCCTCCTCTCCCCTCCCCCACCTACCTGGCCTTTTCTTGGCTCTGAAAGATCTGGACAGATCCTGCTTTTCCCTGGAGTATCTATTTGATTCCACTCCCACCCCCATCCCCACCCCAGGCTCTTGAAACTGGAAGAACTGAATGGCTGGGTCCACCCATATGGCCAGCCTGGTGGTCATCCTGGACTCAGAGCCCCAGGCAGGCAGGCCTCCTCCAGGCTCCCAGACAGCCCAAAACACCTCAACCACAGAGACTCAGATATGCAGGCCTCCTCTGCCTCCAGCTCATAATTCCACCCCAATCAGGAACTCAGGAATTCTAGACCAACTGCGACCCGTCCAAGGAAGGACTTAGGAATTCAAAATCCCCAGCCCTGACCTTGTAGACTGCTGCCCCCAAGGCACTCCATGCCCGCTCCCCAGTTCTTGACCTCTCGGTGTCCCGGGTCCCCAGCGCCCCTGCCGGTAAGGCCGAGCGCCAGGAGCAGCCCCAGGCTGGGGCTCGCCATGGGCCTGGGGAGATAGGCTGGTGGCACCAGGGACAGGGCTTCTTGCGCGCCGCTCCTACCGCATCTCGGGCCAGAGGTACTTACGACTTGGCACCTGCGGGCGGGAGACGGAGAAAGGCCAGGGCGTGGGGGAGGAGGCTTGACCCCGGCGCAGGCCCAGGGAGGGGCGCCCCCCGCCAGG